GGTATAGCGCATCCAGGACGGGACAGAGAAGAAGACACAGAACACATACACTGCGCTAGCTTTCAACAATGCGGTTTAATCCGAGAAACAGCAATACTGCTGAAAGACGAACCCGGAGCGCCCAGAGAAAGGTCTGTGTGAAAAGAATCACCGTGTCAGGTTTGTCGCGTGCATCATAGGAGTCATCTATCGGATCCCATTAACGTGTGATGCATGCTATATAGGCCAAACCGGTAGATGCATCAATGATAGGCTGAACGAACACAAGAATAACGTGGCCAAGGCGCAGCCTGGGGTTTTCTTGCAATTCACTGCAAAGAATGCGTGTGTCAACCCATCTTTAATCGCACCAGCATAATCGGAAGAAGCACTGACCAAATGACAAGGCTCATTAAAGGAGCGAAATTCATTGCTAACTTTGGGGACTCCTGTATAAGCAAGCCATCGGTATCATTATTATTGAAAGAATTGCATTATTTGGATGTCGCATGAGTTGCAATTTTCGGGTTCTACAGCACGTGGTTATGACGCGCCATGTTTGGGTATAAGTATTGCTGTTTCTCGGATTAAACCGCATTGTTGAAAGTAAGCGCAGTGTATGTGTTCTGTGTCTTCCCTGTCCCGTCCTGGATGCGCTATACCTCGAACAAGATGAATAAGGCCGTCGTTTTTTTTTTTTTTCAAGAAATTCAAACGGAAACTACAAGGTGGCGAAACGCACGATTTGAAACTCTTTAACGAGAGTTTTGTTTCGAGTGAGTTATTTACCGCCAAGAAGTTTTGGATGCAATTTTCGTACATACATTGTTTGGTATATACTGTCGGACAGTGCAACCGGATCTAAAAGCAAAGTCAAATATCGAGGTCATTACCTGTGAGTGACAGGAATTTCCGGCGGGGTGGCCGAAACTAAAAGAGTAGTCTCTTTATACACACTTACTCGTAACGCGAGTAGCTGTCAAACATGACTTCCATATGGTAATGCATCTAATTCTGCTCACGAGAGCTCCTTTCGATGAGCCAAGGGTTTCTCTAAGAATCCAATAGCTCCTTCGATTGGCGCGTTGAGAAACTTTCGCCTTCAAAACCTATGGACGCGACACATTAACATGAAAATACACACGCATATATTGCGTTCTGTATACAATGAAGTATATATACTGAAGTGAAGGACTGCATCGTGATATTAAATGGTGAAACGTTATACTAACAGCGTGTGTGAAGTGTCATGGGTGAGGAGAGCAGCAATTGATGTGGACACCAAGGTCTGCCTCTCGTCCCTACTGGATCAATACTGCAACTTATTCGAGTGGACGATGAGAGTGAATTATGATACATTACCAATTTTCGGTAGAAGCATATGACCCGGCAAACTCACTCGTAGATGGCGCACTTAGCTATTCGTGGCATTGACAGTACTTTTTTAATTGGGCAATCGCATATCAACCAGCCAAAATTAGAGAGCACCCGTCAAGGCGTTTGTCACGTTTGAATGAAATAAATGCCTGAGGCCCACTCTGCGGAACACGCAAGCTGACCGTATGAAGGAGCGAGCGAGAAGAATGATTAACTCGAATGTGCGTGAGCTAATGATCCAGGGCGAGAACTCGAACATTCAATGATATCAAGTCTTTGCTCAGCTTGCTGTTAGAAATTAACGTAAGGCTCAGTGAAGGACGAGAGAGAAGCACTGCATGCATGAGCATTAGCTGTTTGTACCCAACAAAAGTAGAGGGCGCGTTGCCAGCAGTCTATCGTAAGCGCAGGTAATTTATACGATGAAGATCAAAGAAAAGCCTCGTTAGCACGAAAATCACGTTAAGGCGCTAGGTCTCTATACGCGGAACTGGCAGTAAGAAGCTTCGCCTAAAAATGAAAACACAATATTGTGTTTTGTATGAAGATTCTGAGCTATCAAAGTCATCGTCATTGCTCCCGCCATCGACCACTGGGGAATATCTGACACTTCCTTTAGCGTTAGGTGTCGTGTCCCTGGCAGCAAGTAGCTGTCATAACTAACGGAAGTGAAAGCCTGGAAGAAATTATGCTGCGGATTTTCTGTTGTGCCGGCACTTGATGTGGGTGTGTTAATAGCCACACCTCTGTCTTGGCGAGACATCCAACGATACGCCAGCCGAGAGCCAGACTCCGCATTTGCATTTCTATCACGTCCCGGCAGCCCGAAAGCTCATGGGTTCGTTAACGCGTTGTGAAGGACACGCTTATTGTCAATACATCTGGCTATGTACTTTCCTTCTGAGCAACCATGTCGATCGTTCTTTCTTTTTATCATTGAAAAAGCTTGTTTTGCCTTAATGTTTTTCCTATTTCCAACCATCTCTTGAGGGCTGACAACCAATCATGGACAAGTAGACTGTCTTCAGGGATTTATTAGACTCCTATGTCAAACAGATAGTGCAGAAAAAATAGCGTAACTTCCTGTTCTCCGGAGTTTCTAGCGACAAGCTCGCTGTGGCACTCCTAGTCAACTACTTAGACATTCGCAGCTAGAATCGATATGGATTGTGCGGGATCTTTCATTCTTCATTTGGACGACATACTATTCTTCTGATACGCTTCCGCGAAACTAGCTCAAGTTGTATTGACAGTGAGATCGAAGATTCTTCTCCTTGAATGAAAGAAAAAAAGAAGAAAAATAACCTTACACGTTAAATTCCTTGTTTCATCCCCGACTAACAGATGGGTAGCTGAATGCATGTGTTGTTTAACAGCTTTGTTTACTTCTCCGATAAAAAAAATAATAATGTGAATGACTGTGAGGCGAATCTTAGAGGCAGGCGCTGCAATAAATTCGACGGCCCGGCTTGATATACCACGACCGCGAATCTAATTACATCACTGTTAATATTACAATACAGCAAAACAATGAATGGAAGTTTTGTGGATTTTGATCACTTTGGATCATGACGGTCTTCCCGTCTCTTAAGCACAATTCAGAGCGAACATATAAATGACATAACTACTAAACATAAAATAATCAAAAAATACTGAAAAGGTTAAAATTGTTGAATTAAATAGTTAAATAGTTAGAAAAGGCTAAATAGTTAAAACATGACAAATGGAGCTTGTTATTGTTATTAAATGTGTATTTAAGAGAGGCTGCCATCTGTCCCCCACTCTTTCGCTAACAGTGCACAGCGAATTATCCCGGCTGCGGCGGCTGCATTTCTGATGGAGGCGGAAATGTTGTAGGCCCGTGTGCTCAGATTTGGGTGCACGTTGAACCCCAGGTGGTCGAAATTTCCGGAGCCCTCCACTACGGCGTCTCTCATAATCATATGGTGGTTTTGGGACGTTAAACTCCACATAACAATCAATCAATCAATCAATCAATCAATCAATCAATTATCAGTGCACAGCGAATTCTATTTTCTTTTTTCACCGCAAAATGGAAAGGAATGTAATGCTGAGAGGAGAAGAGAAAAGGAACACAGTACACAGAGGCTAGCGCTCATCCTTTGTATAGTATATTTTCATTCTCTTCTCTTGTCAATACTCCTTTCCTCTCCAGTCTTACGCCAAATTAAAAAGAATGTCGTCTATGATACAACACCAAATCGCTGTGGCAGAAATTTTTATGAAGTGCAACCATCCTTTTTACAACCCGTGTCTATGCCGTTGTCCACACACTACTTGATGAACTTTACGTTATCAATGTTTTTTAATACGTATAACGTGAGTATGCGTGCTGATATTGCGTGTGCAACAACGTGTCTGCATCTTCGTCTTACGAGACAGCAGCTTTGTGGGGCACAGACTTGAATTTTAGATAGTATCCACAAGAAAATAAATCCCCTTCGCATTTAGGAGACCAGCGACGGTTCTCCGCATACTCTGGCGAAATTCATCATCTTCTTAATCTTAATAAATGTATTGATCATCTCTCTACCCACTTCCCAAAGCGTTCTGCACCTAATATGTCTTTGCATTGGCTTCAAGATCGAACGCATTGCAGGCTTTTCGCTCGTCATCTGCTTATGCACAGCCTCCGTGATCGGCCTGCATTTGACAATATGGCCATGTCATGTGATGACGCCACCATGTGACGTCACGTAGCGTGATCTCACAAGCACTGTAAATTTGTGACTCTATGATGACGTCACGTGTTGACTTCATCCCATGCTGTTGGTTCTTTGCATCCCTCTTGTAGGCACTGACGGTCAATTCTCACGTTTGATGAGGCATCTAATGTTTTCACGTTGATAAGCTTAACTGCTGGATAGAATGGATCAGGTGGGAGAATTGGGCGTGTTGGTGCACTCCAATCTTAAACGAATATTAGCGCGACGAAAACAGGGACGGGAAAAAAAAAGACAAGCTACAGCGCTGACTCGCAACTAATGTGTATTCCTAAATGAAGTGGAATATTTAACATCTGAAAAAAAAGCAAAGTAAAAAGCGCTGTCGTTTGTCTTTTTTTCCCATCCGTGTTTTCGATGCGCTAATATGTGTTTAAGATTGATTGAGTGCGGTCGACACAAGGCAAAGAAAGAAAAAAAAAACAGAAGCACTTGTCCTGGCGCTTCTGTGGACAAGCGCTTCTCCTGTGCTTCAGTGTTCTTTTATTTATGGGTCCTCGGTTGAATACGTGCTGCGCAAGACCATAAGCCAGCTGGCCCGGCAACGACTTTTGTTATGCCTTAATAATGATTAATTGATTGATTGATTGATTGATTGATTGATTGATTGATTGATTGATTGATATGTGGGGTTCAACGTCCCAAAACCACAATATGATTATGAGAGACGCCGTAGTGGAGGGCTGCGGAAATTTCGACCACCAGGGGTTCTTTAACGTGCACCCAAATCTGAGCACACGGGCCTACTACATTTCCGCCGCCATCGGAAACGCAGCCGCCGCAGCCGGGATTAGATCCCGCGACCTGCGGGTCAGCAGCCGAGTACCTTAGCCACTAGACCACCACGGCGGGGCACGCCTTAATAATGTGTACTTGACTATGGGTACCGGTATGACTGACCTGCCCCCCAGCGGACGTCGTGCTGAGTGTAGTTGAGCCGGCCGAACACCTCCCGGCAGGGCAGCGTGAGCATCTTGCCGGCCTCCACGGGTGGCCAGCAGTGGATTGAGTCCCATACGGGCGGGCAGCGTGGAGCTGACGTCACGGCTGCCGAAGCACTCGAAGACACCAAAGCCTGGGCACCGGATTCTCCTGAAAACAGCATAAGGTAGACCGGACGCTATTCACCAATGTCTATATTCTTACAGGCGACACAGTAACCGATTGATTAGTTTTTTTTATTGACATGAAAAAATAATTCAGGAAGTTGCCGCCATTTCTAGGCAACGGCAGAAAATTTCCACTTAGTTGTTAGAATAAAAAGTTTAATGTGTATATTTAAATATTCAGAAACAAAAAGAATGTTTATACGTATAAACAGTTCTGTAATTGGCGAGCACGAAACTTTTCTGTTGTATTGGAGCAAACATGCAAGCACCATGTTTGGTATAAGTTTACTGAACATCACGCTAAATGATTGATTGGTCTATTGTCCTAATGAGGTTTTTGTTACCAATATCTATCCGATACAAACTCACATTGTTGTAGAAGTCCTGAGAACGCACATCCGACACTTCGCACGTGCCCCCGGCCATCACCTTGCACTGTTGCCTTCAGAGAGGCGTCAAGCATCGTTCGCCAAAATTATCGTGAAATACAACGATAAACTTCCCTCGGGCTTCACTCATGCATCTAAACCATCCATACGTATCACCTTGGTGTCTTATTCGACCCACAGCGCATCTTAGTGTACCAGGGATCCGGAGGAAATCTGAGTTTTCGTCACCCGTGCTGAAACAACTGTCTCTTCTTCTTTTGCACGAGAAATATTCAGACAGCGTACATGTATACACCGATGGTTCCACGAACCACCAGTGTTCGTCAGGGGCAGTAGTTATCCCAGCAAGAGGTGTTACCATCAGCTTTAGGACTGACCACTCCACGGCATCTACAGCAGCGGAACTAGCTGCTTTGCGCGCTGCACTTTGTGTGGTCAATCGGGAACCACCGCAACAATGGTCGATTTTCAGCGACTCAAGGGCTGCCCTACAATCTGTGCTCTCAGCACTGCGTCGCGGCCCGTACGAACAGCTTGTTTTTGAAATGCGATGCCTACTCCACACTTTACTCGAGAAAGGGCATCATGTTACGCTTCAATGGCTGCCAAGTCATTGCGGCATCATAGGGAACGAACATGCCGATACTGCCGCGCGAGCAGCCCTTGAAGGAACACGAAAAGAAACCATACCACTTTCGAGGACTGATGCTGCCAGTAATCTTCGACGACTTGCGCGTGAAATCACGTTTTCACTATGGTGTCCACCAAGCATCGATACGAATCGTCAACACCACCTGTCCTATTTGAGTGATCTCCGCATGCCCACTGGACTCGACCGAAGAGAAGCCACCCTACTTCGTCGCGTATGGCTAGGAGTGGCATTTACAAAATCTTACTCCTTTGTCATAGGAATGGCCGACAACGCTCTCTGCGATGCCTGTCATTGCGAAGAGACGCTACACCACATCCTGTGTGACTGTCCATTGTATGAAATCCAGAGACAGTCACTGGCGTCTGCTTTTGCGCGCATCGACAACAACCAAATGTCTGTGGACACTATTCTGTCAAGTGCCCGAGAGAAGACACTGCAACAGAAGGCGACGAAAGCTCTGTTTAAATTCCTACGCGACACCGACTTGAACAAGCGACTGTAACAGCAATGTCACACACCGCGAAAGACAAGACTGGACTATGACTGAGTGTGCGCGCATGTGCTGCCGAATGTGCTGTTTCTATCTTCCCTCTCTGCTCTCTTTCATCTCCCCCATCCCTCCCCCATGCGCAGGGTAGCAAACCGGCTGCCTATAGGCTGGTTAACCTCCTTGCCTTTCTTTTCCCTCTATTTTCCTTCCTTGTTACCAAATCTAGCGGGTGATACAGATGAATAAAATGTCACGCGTTTTCTTCCTGCGACACTTGGCGTGCTGTGGCTCATGAACAGATGCGTTCCAGTCTCTTATTGGTGCTTGTATAGATGTTCTTGACTTCAGTTAATTATTCAAGTCGCTTGAAGCTCTCTTAAACTTATGCCGCAGCTTACCGGCTGTAACATGACTACCACTTATTAAACATTGTTTATGAAACGATTTAAGAGTCAGTTAGCTCCTTGGAGTGGCACCAGTCATTTCTTGCCGCTCAACTCTTGTGCAAAAAAAAAGGCCAATGCATGCCAAAAAATAAGACAACCCAAGCACAATGCAAAATCACATGACTCACGAAGATTTGTGGATGTTGTCGGTTGAAAAAATTGAGAACAAACGCTCATGTATAACAGTTTCGCCTAATATGTGAAAATATTTGGAGAATCCGGCTTCTTTATTATCAGCATTGCGTCTACTCTTCGTTAAACGTTTTTAAATATTGTCCTTTTTTTAATGCGGCAACTTCACTGACAGCCAGGCTTGCTTCAGTTGGTTGAGTGACCACCAGGCACCAACCAACGAGCCAACGAATCAGACGAATGACCCTTTGTCGAGTTGCCGCATTACAACGCACAACACTGAACAACTAAAAATGTTCCTCAATATGCCGCTTGCGCATGGGAGTTTCGGATCACACGCAAGCGAATAATATGCATGATGTGTTGTTTGAAAACGCCTCGTTCCATAGCGCGTTTTTTTTAGAACAAAGAACAACAACAAACACAAAAAAGACCTCTTATCACTGTAAATGTGCTCCATCGCGAAATCGCACGCATGTCATCAACTAGCGCTGCTGCCCTATATTCCCATGAGGCAAGAGGCTCGAAGAAGCTTTGAGGCTACGGTTCAGTAATTATACAGAGTGATCCGAGAGATTTACGATGAACAAGTGCAAAAGCGCGCGCAAATGGACCACTCTTGTACTCTGACAGTTTAGAAAAAAAATAGAGAAAAAAGCACGTCACAACGATCCCTTGCATAGAGCATGGTTAACGTGCCTCGTTTAATTAGTCAAATGAACGTGATAATAGGCTTAGCGTGACCGCCTAGCCAAGAAGGCGCTGTGTGTTCCGGCCAAGGCGTGCGTCGTGCTCTGCTGGGTGAAGATAGCGTGATGACCTTGTTTCCATGTTAACTAGTTAATTACTTAAGCGTGAAGTTAATCAGAGGTCAAGTGCTTGTCCTAAAGTCGATGGCTCTGTGATGCGACAAATTAGCGTTTGCTCGCGAAAGTCAAATCGGCGATGTAGATAAAAACTAATCTGTGTTTCAACACACGCGTTGGGCTTGAAACTCTCGAATTAGCTTTACAATGTTTTTATGCGAGTGTTGCGTTTTTTTTTAATTTTGGCCATACATAAGAATTTGTTTTATAACGTAGGGGCTGACCTTGGAGGGACGAGCTCGAAGATAAGCCCAAAAGGCACGTAACACGTAAAGGAACACACACCCAAGTACAGTATGGACCGGTGAAGCGGTCCATGAATTTAACCAACTTTGCAAGTCAACAAGGCGACCCGGATAACGCCAAGTTGCTCTGAGGGGGCGAAGTCTAGTTCGGCGGGAGTATAGTATATAGGTATAGTAAGGAGAACAGCCTAACAGCGGATATGTTTAGACTATTTTAGAGTTATATGATGAGACGTAGTAAAAGCAGTAAATGAGTTGCGGGGATGCGAAAGGAAAAAAAGAACAAATAATGTGTTCTGACACTCGCGACAGAAACTGCGCGGATGTCTCATCACCGTTCCATTTTCCTTCAATCTCAAGACAATAACGCTCCAGTACGAAAGAACGCAATCACAGCCCGTTTCTCTTCATTTGAACGCTTTTCTTGTGCAGGACATTCAAGATGGCGTCACCCGACAACCAACCCATTGGAAGGGAGAAAATGAACGCGTGTGTAACCGACGCATGCTTAGAAATTACAGGCAAGCGATGAAATAGTATTCACGGAATAGCCTCAACAGCAGCACGATTCTCGCGATTACGCCTGTCTGAACCATTCCTTGGTAGGGTGGAAACCTACTGCACTATGAATGCACTGCTACAAATGTGAACCAAACCAACAACCCAAGGTTGTTTGCAAGATGTAAAGACATCTTTAGTCTACGTTCGGGTTTGTGAAAGGGTTAAGTGTAGCTGAGTTTGCGATATTGTTCTTGTAGCCTTCAAGCCAACCCAGATGAACTTATATAGGTAAATGAAATACTGGTTATGCAAGAATACAAGCAATTACCTGATTTCCAAAGGGTTAGCGAGCTCGAATAAGCAAAGTTGCCCAGAAAACAATATTTAAAAACATTAAGGTGGTGGTTCAGAAGACGAAAAATGACATAAGCGGCAGAAAAATAGCGTCAACTACGGTGTTCACGTGTGTTCCCAAGGGAAGCGTTATTCCGCAAAGTGGTTACAATGACTTCTTCGTCATTGCTCAGGGTTTTTCCTCGCCATCTACCTCATCGGTTCCCCAGATATGCGACCACAAAAAAGCCAGCGCAAGCCCAACGATAGCTCTAAAAGCGCATTAACCCCACGAGACTGCAGAAAGAAAACAGAAAAGAGCAACCGATCCACTTCCTCGTCTTCTTATTTCTTCCTCGTTCGGATCTGTCGCTTTTGTGTAAGCAGTCTCGATGATTGTTTTGTATATATTGGAAGACGACGCTGCACACTAAGAGGACCGGTCGCCTTTTACGGGGCGCCACGACAGCGTGGGTAGATAGTGGTCTATTGTAAGGGGTTGCTGGACTCTCAGCGTCACTCAGACCGGAATCTACTACGCCCACGGTTCGGTGCAGCCTAGTGGAAATGACGGCTTCCGGTTCGCCTAGGAAAAAGCTGAAAGGTCGAAAAGCAGCGTCGTTGGGCCGCGACCAGTTTCACGTGTCCGCAAACTTTCGTTGTGCATCAAAGTAAAACAAAGAAACTGAGACACATGCGCTGATTTTCTACAACCCTAACCTAACTGTACGCGTACGTCTGTGACTATAGACCACGCTTCGAGACCATTTGAGGGAGTAATCATTGCAAGGTTGTCATCGTTTAAAATTCATTGCAAGAAACAAAATAATGTGCATATGGGGGGGGGGGGGGGGCATCTTTGTCTTTGCCGTTCAGTGCAAGTCGGTAGTTTACTGAGGAACAAAGGAAAAGCCATCTTAGGACTTATG